AAAAGAGAAGATTCATAAACACAGTCAGAAATAACAAAGGTGACATTACAACAGATCCCACAGAAATACAAAAGATCCTCAGAAACTACTATGAACATCTCTATGTGCAGATACTATAAAATTAGGAAATAAACAAATTCTTGGAAACAGTCTCCCAAGATTGAAATAGGAAGAAACTGAAACCTTGAACAGACTAATGAGTACAAAACTAAATCAGTAATAAAAACAAAACAAAACAAAAAAAAACTACCAATAAAAAAAAAGTCCTGGACCAGATAGATTCACAAAATACACAAAGAAGGCTGATGCCAATCCTACTGAAATTACTGAAAATAAATTAAGGAGAGATTCCTCCGTAACTCATTCTACAAGACCAATTTCATCATGATACCAAAATATGGCAAGGACACAACAAAAAAAGAAAACTACAGACCAATATTGCTGATGAAAATAGATACAAAAATCCTCTATAAAATAATAGCAAACTAAATCCAGTAGTACATTAAAATGAAAATTTGTATGATCAAGTGAGCCTTATTCCTGGGATGCAAGGATGGTTCAACACACACAAACCAATAAATGTGATTCCCCACATAAACAGAATTTAAAAAAAGAATATGATCACCTCAATATACACATAAAAAGCATCTGATAAAATCCAACATCCCTTTATGATAAAAACACTTAACAAATTAGACATCAAAGGAAGATATCGCAAAATATTAAGAACCCCCTATGACAAACCCACAGCCAACATCATGCTGAATGAGCAAAAAGTTAGAAGATTCCTCCTAAGAACTAGAACAAGACAAGGATTCCATTCTTAGCAATCCTATTCAACACAGTACTGGCAGTCCCAGCCAGAGCAATCAGGCAAGAGAAAAACATACAAGACATCCAAATAGGAAAAGAGAAAGTCAAATTATCTCTTTGTGGACAATTTAATTCTGTATCTGGAAAATTCTAACAATTCCACCACAAATCCTAGACTTGATGAGCGACTTCAGTAAAGTTTCAGGACATAAAATCATTGTACAAAAATCAGTAGTATTTCCATACACCAATAACATTCAAGCTGAGAATGAAATCAGTAATGCAATCTCATTTACAATAGCCACTCACACACAAAAATACAGAGGAATACATTTACCCAAGGAGGTGAAAGATCTCTACAAGGAGAACTACAAAACACTGATGAAGGAAATCATAGATGACACAAACAAATGGAAGGGCATTCAATGCTCATGGAAGGAGACTCGGTATCATTAAAATGTCCACACCGCCCAAAGTAATCTACAGAATCAATTCATTTTCTATCAGATTACCAAATTTTTTGGTAAAAATAATAAAAAAAAAAACTCTGAAATTCATATAGAACCACAAAAGACCCAGAATAGCCAAAGTTATCCGGAGTAAAAAGAACAAAACTGGAGGAATCACATTACCTGACCTCAAATTATACTACAGAGCTATAGTAACCAAAACAGCACGGTGCTGGCATAAAAACAGGCACACAGACCAGCTGAACAGAATAAAGAACCCAGAAATAAATCCATACATCTACAGTGAACTCATTTTTGACAAATGTTCCAGGAATATACGTTGGAGAAAAGACAGTCTCTTCAATAAATAGTGCTGGGAAAACTGGATATCCACATGCAGAAGAATGAAACTAGACTCCTATCTTTTGCCATATACAAAAATCAAATCAAAATGGATTAAAGACTTAAATCTAAGGCCTCAAACTATGAAACTACTAAAAGAAAACACTAGGGAAACTCTCTAGGACACTGGTCCAGGCAAAGGCTTCTTGAGTAATATCCCATAAGCACAGGCAACCTAAGCAAAAATGGACAAATGGGATCATATCAAGTTAAAAAGCTTCTGCACAGCAAAGGAAACTATCAACACGGTGAAGAGACAACCCACAGAATGGGAGAAAATATTTGCAAACTACCCATCTGACAAGGGATTAATAACCAGAATATATAAGGAGCTCAAACCACTCAATAGGAAAAATCTAATAATCCAATTTAAAATGGGCAAAAGATCTGAATAGACATTTCTAAAAAGATGACATACAAATGGCAAACAAGTATATTAAAAAGTGCTCAACATCACTGATCATCAGAGAAATACAAGTCAAAATGACAATGAGATATCATCTCACCCAAGTCAAAATGGCTTTTATCAAAAGGACTGGCAATAACAAATGCTGGCGAGGATGTGGAGAAAAGGGAACCCTCTTATACTCGTACACTGTTGGTGGGAATGTAAACTACCATACCCACTATGGAGAACAGTTTGGAGGTTCCTCAAAAAACTAAAAATAGAACTACCATACAATCTAGCAATCGCACTGCTAGGTATATACCCAAAAGAAAAGAAAGCAATGTATCAGAGATATCTGCACTCCCGTGTTTATTGCAGCACTATTCACAATAGCCAAGATCTGGAAGCAACCAAATTCTCCATCAACAGGTGAATGGATAAAGAAAATTGTGGGACATATACACAATGGAGTATTCTTCAGCCATAAAATAGAATGAGATCCTGTCATTTGCAACAATATGAATGGAAGTGGAGTTCTATTACGTTAAGTGAAATAAGCCTGGCACAGAAAGACAAATTTTGCATATTCTCACTTATTTGTGGAAACTAAAAGAAATGAAACAATTGAATTCATGGAAACGGAACATGACAGTTACCGAAAGCTGGAAAGGGTAGTGCATGAAAGTAAGAATGGTTAATGGGTACAAAAATTAGATAAAATGAATAAGATCCGGTATTTGATAGCACCACAAGGTAAATATAGTCAACAATAATTTATTGTACATTTTAAAATAACTAAAAGAGTGTAATTGGATTGTTTGAAATGCAAAGAAGGGATAAATGCATGAGGTGATAGATACCTCATTTACCCTAATGTGATTAGTATGCATTTATGCCTGTATTAAAATATCTCATGTATCCCATAAATATATACATCTACCATGTACCTACAAAAATTAAAAGTAAAAAAAATTTTTTTATAAGGCACAACTTACAGAAAGCAGGGGAAACAGCATAAGAAAAAGTCTTCAACATTGGGCAGATCCACGTTCAAATCTTTGTTCTGCCGTTAGTTGGAGATATTTTATATAATTATTTTATCCTTTCTACATATGCTTTGTAAAGTTGTAAGGATTAAAAAAAAACAATAAATATACAGTTAATCCTTGAACAACACAGGTTTGACCAGCACAAATCCACTTACACATAAATTTTTTTTCTGCCTCTGCCACCCAAGACAGCAAGACCAACCCTCTTACTCCTCCTTCCTCAGCCTACACCTGAAGATGAGGATGAAGACCTTTATGATGATCCACTTCCATTTAAAAATAGTAAATATATTTTCTCTTCCTTATGATTTTTTAAATAATATTTTCTCTTTAGCTTTGTTGTAAGAATACAGCATATAATACATATAACATATAAAATACATGTTACTCTATGTTACTGGCAAGGCTTCCAGTCAACAGTAGGATATCAGTAGTAAAGTCTGTGGGGAATCAAAAGTTACATGTGAATTTTTGACTGTGCAAGGGGCCAGTGCCCCAACCCCCATGTTGTTCATGGGTCAATAGTAGAGTGGTTATAATATGCCTGGCATATAATAAGCAATAAACTACAGGAACTGTTGTTACTATGATGTATATCACGACTATTTGCCAATGATCTAGTTGTAGGCTAAAACCCAGAAAATTACTTAAAATTGGCAGAATAGACAAACTCACTGGATAAGAGGATAAGCAAAAACCCAAAATGTCTGCAAATATTAGCAATATTCTGTTAGGAAAAAAAACCTTTGAAGATTGAAATGGAATTATAAACTATCTAGAAATAATCTTTATAAGAAATACAACAGATAAATGTGAAAATGATCAAAATTTGTGTAAGAGATATAAAAGAAACTGAGTAAATGTAGAAATTTAACTTGTTTCTGTATATAAACTATTATAACTATGTCAATTCTTCTTAACTTGTAGGTTTAATATAATACTAATCAAAATTACAACAAGATTGAAAAAAAAAAGAAACAAGAATTACCTTAAATATTTATCTGGTAAAGAAAAAGAAAGTAAATAACTAAGAATAATAAGTGTAAAAAAAGAGGGTAAAGGGGAAATGAGGAAAGAATTCTATTAGAAATTAAAGCATACTGTAAATCTATAATTACTAATACAACGAGGTACTGGCAGAAAAGACAGAGTAATAGATCAAAGGAGAAAGCCCAAAGGAAGATATAGCTTGATACCTACTTGTTATAGATTCATTCACTGGTATATATAAGAATTTAATAAATCTTACAAGTAGCATTATAAATCAGTGGCAGAAAGACGTGTAGTCATTAAATTAGGCTGGGATTTCGATAAGCTACTTGGCAATAGTAAATTAAAAATTTAAAAATAAAATAAGGGCCCGGCGCGGAGGCTCATGCCTGTGATCCCAGCACTTTGGGAGGCTAAGGTGGGTAGATCACAAGGTCAGGAGTTTGAGACCAGCTTGGCCAACATGGTGAAACCCCGTCTCTACTAAAAATACAAAAATTAGCCAGGCATGGTGGTATGCCCCTGTAGTCCCAGCTACTCAGGAGGCTGAGGCAGAAGAATCGCTTGAACCCATGAGGCGGAGGTTGCAGTGAGCCGAGATTGTGTAACTGCACTTCAGCCTGGGTGACAGAGCGAGACTCCATCTCAAAAAATAATAATGATAGATAAATAAAATAAATTAGCTCTGACTTCAAATCAATATCCCAAATGACTTCCACACTGATTATTCTTAAATGCGAGAGAGACAGAGAGAGAGACTGAGAGAGGTAATGAGAAAGGGTGAGAGAGAGAATGAGAACGAAAAAACACACATAAAAAAGCATTAGAAAATTAATACTGATGTACTATCCAGGAAGAGCTATAAAAATGTTAATACAACCAGGATTAAGAATATGAGCTAAATCTTACATGCTCTTCCCACACTTTTTTTTCTCTCTCATAAGCTTCCTTTCTCTTTCGTTCTAGTTGTTCTTTTAGTACAGCAGCACGTGCATTTGCATGGGCCTAAAAATAAAAACAATTAACAAAACGAGTTACCAGAAAGAAGGGCACAGGTTTTTATTTTTTTTTTGGCCAGGTCTATGAAGATATTTACTTATTAGCCAAAAAAGAAGTATGCATGTGGTCTTACAATAAAAATGTAAGCTCACTCTAAATCTTTAGCACCTAGAACCAGCCTTGACATATAGCAGGTGTTCAATAAATATTTGTTGAGTGAAAATAAAGGCAAAAAAATGTAAAAATTTAAAACAATTATTATACATAGACTTCATTTACCTTCATGGGGATGTATATTTGCAGATTTTTCATTTTTAAGGTTACCATTTTTTTCGAGATTACTTATATGATAGTTTCACGTATTTATGCCATGGTTTTATCTATTTTCATAAATACAATACAAAAAGAGAAAAATACTATTTTTAGAAACCAAAAAGTGGAGGAGAAAGATGAAAGAAAAATTAAAGGAAGAGAATAAAGTGATATAACTATGCAAAACTTAAGAACACAATGTTCTATCTCAGCTTCCAATTTTCTCTAAGAAAACCTGTATCATTTCTATTCTATACCTTCAGGGATTCGATTTTTTTGCGCCTCATGTCAGCCTCTTCACTTCCTTCTTGTCCTTCAGAACGATTAGCTTCTTTCTACAAAATAAGTAGATAAGCAAATCACTTAGGATAGAATCATCAAATTGAGTGCAGAGTTCTGTGAAAGATAAGGAATAAACTAAAACCTAAAAATATAAAATGGAAATCATTTAACGTTGTTAGTTTTCTCCTAAAGCTACAACTGAACTCTCCACCACTATCAGCCTTTAAGAACAATGGAACAAAAAGATAATGACATAAAATGCATTGCAATCCTCCCCTGAATACTAGTTATATTTTCCTCTCAGAATTCCTCAGGAACAAATGGTCTTATCAATTTAATATCACATAAATAAGATTTACTTTATGTGTAGTTTTCTGATCTTTGAACTTCCACTATCATCATCAGTTTTTGTTGTTGTTGTTAATGGCACAGCATTTTAAATGTTAATCTACTATGATATCATTCAATTTCTTCAAAAAAATAGCTTTTCAACCTACCTTTTCACCACGAAGTTTGGCTTTAATCTGTTGGCGTTCATTGAAATTCTGTAGTCTTATTTGCCTCAGTCTTGCCAGATAAACCTACAAAGAGGCAAAAACCCCAACACAATAATGTAAAGTACAGCTATTGACATTTTTACTGCTAGATTTTTTTAAATTTAAGGAACAGTGTTAATTTGAACACAAGAAATAAAAGTTCTGAACTCCGGTTAATGGAAATGTAATATTAGCTTTCAAGTGTTTAATTAAGAACAATTTATTTCTGAAAAGAAAGAAATACATCATAAAATTAAATATTTTTAATTTAATCAAAAGAAAAGAAACTGAAATCATAATACTGAATAAGTTACGGGTCAAAATTATGACACAGAATGTCAGTCAAAAATATATTAACAGGTCCCTATAGACCTACAAAATCTTCAAATAATTGTTAAGAATTTAAACCATGCAAGAAAAGAAGGCAATAAATTCAAAAGTGGCTATGTGATGGAGGTAGCGAACATGCGGGAAGCATACCTCTTCCTCTTTGTTCCTTGGCTTCCCTCCTCTTGAAGAGCTGGGCCTGCCTCCATACATAGCTGCCAGGTTTTGCAGGATTCCCTGTTTATCATTTAATGTACTAAGTTTAAAGAATGACTAAGGCTACATTATTATCTTACCAAGGAATATCCAGGTGCTACTTTATTTCTTTTGGCAAGTACTGACCATTTCTTGATGATAAACTGTGATAACAAACCCTGGTGTTTTCCTATGTCAACTTGAAATATATATTCAGTGAGAACAGAAGGAACCAATTAAGCCCCAAACACAATTATTCAAAACAGAGACCAGCTATCTTTGTATTAGTCACTTAAGAGGGGTTTTTGTTTTGTTTTGTTTTGTTTTGTTTTGTTTTGTTTGTTTGTTTTAAATCATGGCTTTGGAGGTTAAACCCCAATCCAAATTTTTCCTCTATAAACAGCCAATCCATTTAGACATATGTCTACATATATAGTAAACACATACAAAATAAGATATTTGAGATCACTTTTTCTGAATTCAACAAATCAGTTGTATATTAATTAAGAGATCTCAACCAAACTCTCCAGTGCACTCAGGCATGTTCAGTTACTATACAGCAAATGGTCAAACCCAATCACAAATGGACTCATTTCTGAACATAGTTTATATACTTTCTCTTCCTTCAGCGTACAAGCATGCTTCAAGTTCTTCTCTTAAAAAACCTCTTTAGTCCCACTTTCCTGTCAAATGTCTTTTTATTGGCTTATTGAATGTATGCTTTTTATATTCATCATCTCAATTTTCCTGCTTCCCAGTCATTTTTTTAGCTCACTACAATCTAGTTTCTGATCCCACTATGACTCTGAAAATTTTCTAAGGTCACCAATGACTTTCTACTTCACAATTGAAATGAACACTTTTGAGTGATTTTTGCATTTAACATTTCCACTGGAAATTAGTTTTGACTGAATCCACTTAATTTATATATGTATTTTTTCTGTCATAACATAATACATATTATAGAAAGTTTATTAAAAAATAAAATGTGAATCATTTATAATTCTGCCATCTGAGAAACTTAAAATTTGAGGGTACTGTCTTCCAAATTTCCTTCTCTGCATATGTATAATACGTACATGTTTATTTTTATAAAACTGGTATTTTACTAGTTATCCAGACAATATTATATCCTGAATCTCTTCCCACATCCATTTAATATTCCTTACAAACACTATTCTTAAGTGACTATATACTATTCATAACACTCCACTATACAAATGTTCTATAATGCACACATTTTTAAAAAGTCTGTCTTCTCTTTCAGTATTTATAACGCCACTCTCTCTTGGGTTCTTCCAGTTGTCACTATTTTTCACAGGCTTTTCTCTCCTTGGCTTGTTGCTGAATGTCAATATTTTCTAGAGTTTCATTTTCTGGCCCTCCTTCTCTTCTCATCCCCAGGCTTTAACATATGCTGCCAATTCCCAAACCTTGTAGCCCTTTTCTCTTTACAGCTTTCTGTATATGTTAAACTGACATCTGGGCAACTGTTTATGCAGCAAAGCTACCTCAGACAATTTATAAAACTGACTTTATCCTTCTTTTTACTATATAATCTTATTCCCAATTCAGTTATGGAACATGATCAGTCACTCAACAAACTAGGAATTACATTTGCCTCTTACCTACTATACTCAAATATGCCAAATTACCAACTCTATCTCCTAATAATTCTATAATTTATCATTTCAGTTTCTGCCTTAGCTCAGCCTCTCTTCTTTCGACTCTTAAATTGCTAAATGAGTTTCCCAACTTATCTTACCTCTAGTCTCACATCCCACAATTCCATTCTCTACAATGCACTGAGAGTAACCTTTCTCTTTCACATCTAATCCCACACAAATCCTTCAATGGTTATTATTATCTTCAGACTTTAATTCACATTCTGTTGAATGGCAAGTAGAGCCACTTGTGATCTAGCCATTTCAAGTCTCATCTCTGCCACTGCTCAGTCATAAATCCTACATTCTGGCTATGACAACTACTTGTGGTCTGTAGACTGTACCATGATCTCACTCATCCTCTTCAGATGGGTAACTCTACTCATCTTCCAAAACTCAAACCAAGTATATCACCCCAGAAGCCTCTTCAAAGCCTTCTCTAGGGAGTTAAGTGTGCTTCCTTTGACCTTCCATACCATTTCTTTATAGATACCTTTCACAGTAGCAGTGCATTATAATTGTGGAAGGGCAGTATATTTTAGTTAAGAACATGAAATACATACAGACTCTGAAATCTGTTTTTGTCAACATCACATAAACACTGCTGATCTTAAACAAAACTGCTTAAACTTGTTGTTAAGTCTAGGCATAAAAACATCTACTTCTCGGGTGTACCAGAGCAAAAAATATTACTGTAAGAGCATGCCCTGCCTTTCTTCTTTTGCAGCAGGACAAAGGGCCTTTACTCACTCAGTTTTCTTCCCTCTTCAAGAAGGTCCTTGCAATAGCTTATCAGTATTTGAGCTTTTGAGATACATATAGGTCAAAGAGTTGGGGAAGTGAAGGAAAATAAGAAATAAGCAGCACTGGGCAAAGATGTGAGATAAATTCTGAAAAGGCATATGGGAGAATCTACAGAGTTAAGGGGAGTGGACGGTAGTGAACTGAGTATTGCTATAGAAGATAACTTTCTTTCATGAGATTTGAGAAATACAAGAATCTGAGTTACTCTGGAGTTTTAAAACCTTTTTAGTTTGAAATATTATAGATACACAGAAAGGTGAAAAGAATATACAGGGAGGTCCTGTGCTCCCTTTCACCCAGCCTTTCCCAAATTTCTCATCTTGCATAACTACATTATATCAAAATCAGGAAACTCACACTGACTCAAATTATAGACATAATCTTCTATTTGTGCCATGCATCTACACAATTTTGTCACTCATGTCATCTTATATTAATTCCACCCTAATCAAGACACTTAGCTGTATTATTACTGGAACACTTTATAGCTACATTCACTACCTCCATCCCTAACCCATCAACCACTAAACTGTTTTCTATCTTGATAATTATGTCATAATTTCTATGTAGACTCACACAGTATGTGACCTTTAGAGACTGTTTTCACTCAATATAATTATATTTGGTCCATCCATGGTATTGCAATGCATCAACAGTTCATTCCTTTTCATTGCAAAGCAGTATTCCATGGGGGTGGATATAGTGTTATGATACAGTCTTTTCATTCATTTACCCATTAAAGAGCATTTGGGTAGTTTTAAGTCTTTTGCTATTACAAATAAAGTTTCTATGAATATTCATGAATGAGTTTCTAAGTGACAACAAGTTTTCTTTTCTCTGGAACATATGCACAAGAATGAAATTACTGGTTCTTGGTATGAAGTCCATTTTTAGTTTAAAAAGGAACTATGAAACTATTTTGCACAATGACTGTATCATTTTACATTCCAAACAACAATGTATAGCTGACCAGTTTCTCCAAAACTTCATCAGCATTTGGTTTTATCACTATTTTTTTATTATAGCCATTTTGATAGGTGTGAAGTGATAACATCATTGTGGTTTAAGTCTGTATCTTTCAAATGATTTGGGTATCTTTTCATGTGTTACCTGCCACCTGTATATCCTCTTTGGTGAAATGTTTTATAAATTTTCCTCATTTTCTAACTGGATCTTTTATGTTTAATGTTGAGTTTTGATGCTTCTTTATGTTTTCTAAATATAAGCCCTTTGTTGGATAAGTGCTGTACAAATATTTGTCTCAATCTGTAATTTGTATTTTCTTCCTCTTAACAGGGTCTTTTGCAGAGCCAGATTTTAAAATTTTGAAAAAGCCTGGTTTATTAACTTTGCCTTTTTTGGATTATGCTCTTGGTGTCAAGTCTAATAACTCTTTGCCTAGTACTAGGTCCCAAAATTTTCTTCTCTTTTTACTAGAAGTTTTCTAGTTTCATATGAAAGCCCATGATCTGTTTTGAGGTAATTATTTTATATGGTTTGAGGTTTAGGTCAAGGTTGATAGAGCTTATGGATGTCCAGTTCCTTCCACAATAATAATGAAAAGGTACTCCCCCTCCACTGAATTGCTTTTATGTATCTGTCAAGAATCAGTTAGGCATATATATTTGTATGCAACTATTCTGGGACTCTCCATACTGTTCTACTGATCTATGTGTCTATCCCTTTGCCACTACTACACTGTTTTGATTACCGTAGCTATAAGTTAGCCTTAACATCAGGAAGAGTTATTCTTCCCAAGTTGTTCTTAAAAATTGTTTTAGTTACTTTAAGGTCTTTCACTTTCTGTATAAATTTTAAAATAAGCCTGTCTACATTAAAAAATATTTTCTGAGATTTTAGTAAGGATTGCGTTAACTCTATAGATCAATTTAAGAATCGCCATTTTTACTATTGTGAGTCTTCTGATTCATAAACAATGTATCTCTCCAAGTATTTAGGTCTTCTTAGACTTTTTTTTTCATCAGCATTTTGTCATTTAATTGCATTCAATATTGCATATGTTTTGTTAGCATTATTTTTCATATTCTTTGGAAC